CATTATTTCTTGCGGTTTTTTGCTCAGGTGTGTAAATTCTTTTATGTTTTTGCATTTTAGAGAACTTCAATATGACAAATCAGAGAATTTCAATATGACAAATTAGAGAACTTCAATATGATAAATTATTAGTCATAATTTATTTATCGTTATTATTAGTCATAGTTTATTTATCGTTATAAGTTTATTTTATTAATTACATAGTTGACTTTATTTATCATTCGTTATTGATTGATTTCTGATTAATTAAATTTCAACAGGGGCAGACAAAATCAATATTATCGTCATTACAGGGGCGGGAGCCGGACATCACCCTAAATTAGTACACCATGGATAGGTCTTACACTCCGTTCCACTCCGCTCCAGCCCAATAACAAGCTTGAAGTAAGAGAAGCATCTTCTAAGAACATGGAATGAGCGAATGAAAATATTTTCTACTCTATGGTAATAAATTAAGAATAGCGATAGCTTTGATTCATAAAACTTCTGTTGTAATCAAGTTTGAGGCTTTGTCTAAATTATTAGAGATAGCGATAGTTGATTCAATCGGATTTAATATTACTAAAATTAGTTAAATAACATTTGACAGGACTGTACATTTTGATTGTAATTTTTCATTATCTTTTATTATTATAATTTCCCTTAATATATCTTTGCTTCTTATCTTCTTATGATTCTGGTGATAAATGATAAGAAAGTTAGGCGTAAAGATTATATATTTGTGAATGAAATGGAATTCCTTTATCGAAGTAAATCATATGCACTCTAGTCCAAGTTGCTTTAAATTTCACCGAGCTTATTAGTCTTATTATAAAAAGTAAAAAAATAAAAAATTATAATTAAAAAAAAAAGAATAATAAAAAAAGAAAACTACATAACCTCCAATATTTTTACAACACGTATCAGCTACGTATGCACAAGTGACACAAAGTGCACATTTTTTAAATGCAACTCTTAATAAGATTCTTTCAAAATACACATCTCGAGCATAGAGTTTTATATATATTTTTCTCTTTAAATTTCAAATGCAAATTTTTACGTATGACTGAAATAAGTGGAATTCTTAGTTATGCGTGACCAAATTGGTTTAAAACTAGACTTAACCCATTTCATTGTCAGGTTAGGGTTTGTAGGTCATAACAATGCCAAAATTCAGACAAAAATTTTTATTAATGCAGATAAGTAAACCTTTTTTTTGTTAAAATTCGAATTAGAATGTAAACGATTAGATTATGATATTAATGACAATATTCTATTTATTGTAACTATGGAATTCTATGGAATTCTGATATTATGATATTCTATTGTTTTCTATACTGATAAAATTGAGCAAATAGCTTTAAAAATAATAATTTCGATTAGAATATGTATAATAAACATTGAAGTGCAAAAACAAAAAAATTTTTAAACTTACGATGAGATCGAAAAATAAAGTTCCACCACTGCCCAGCAGCCAAGGTAAATTTATAAGTAAATACTCATAGTCCATTGAGTATAAAAGTATTGACTAAATATAAGTTTTGTTTATAAATCTTTTAAATAAACAAAAAACAAGGTAATTAAAAGTAATCGCTAGTACATACCGAGCAAAACGCGGTATTGCCTAAAGAACTGAAACAGAACATGCCCAATGATAATCCTTCAGTAGATTTTGATTTGTGATTTTTGATAATTTGCGGAATTCTTGAACTAACTAAATTAATGCAAAAATTTGAGATAGGAACAATAATTTACCGTACATTTCTTTAAAAAAAACTTACGATAGAAAACTGCACTGCACCATCCCAAGATTTGAGGCAGCAATTTCATATGCAATGGCATGTTACTATCATCTTTGATCAATATGTTAAATCCTCCTTTCACATCTAATGGATTGGCGCATCGAGATAAAGAGGAGAAATAATAAATGATAACACCAGTTAAGAAAACACCTATTATTCCAAATAAAATTTTCAATGATCGTCCTATTTTTGAATTGTTTGTGGGTATTTGTGAATTAGATCGTTCAGGTAGTAAGGGTGCTGATTCTGAATCTATGGGTGAGTCGTAAATCAATCCAGTATAAAACGTATTTCTACGAGGACGACGATAATAAAGAATTTGTAATATTATGACAATGTCTGATAGGACATAATATATGGCAAGGTAGATCTATTGGTAAAATTATTTCACGTGAAAAGATAAGATTTGTTAATGGCCAATAATAATAGTAATCGTGGGAATTACATATTAAATTAATGCGGTGTAGATCAAGCACAGCATTCTCGTTCCCGGAAAGCGAAAAATTACCACGGTTGGTAACAACTCCTGTAAAATAGTTCCCGCCAAGTTGAGTAAATCACCAGCAAGCCATATGTAAAAAAGAACTATCGATACAGAATGGCTTGATTTTCGTTGATAATTTTCATAAAGCTGTCTGATTTTAAAAGAAATTTAATCATTCTATTCATTTTACTTTTTTTTTTTTTTGCTCTTTTTTTTTTTTTTTTTTTGAGTTTACGAAATAAATATTTACGGGATAGTAACTACAATCCAGCAAGCTATAGAAGTATAGCCCATAATTTCTGACAGGGCTTTGTTATCGAATATGGGCATTTTTCTAATAATCGTAGATTTCGAAAAAAGTAAATGTAAAAATAAAAATAAAATAAGAAAAAAAAAAAAAAAAAAAAAAAAAAACAATAAAATGGTGAAATTGATCCTACTTATTTATTTATTTATTTATTTGTTATCTTTTGATCATTCATCGTTACCTTTTGCTTATTGAAAGACATGACACAACATTCCTATCTAATCCGATACTAGCAGTTATTCGATGCGAACATCACAAACCAAGGGAAACCACTTAGTCGCATACCCCCTACTGCTGTACTGCACTTAATATATAGCAATATATGAATAATGCAAATCGGACCCGACACTGCCCGAAACACTGACCAAAATTTCCAAAGTTGGCAACGTTTATCAATTAATCAATTAATAAACAATAGTGATAGGTTTTTTTTTTTTGAATATCGATATACCCAAATTTGAAAATCACGTGTATATTAAGAAATCTTAATAAAATTAGATGTCAAGATTAAATCACCAGATCGACTAACCCTGGTCTGTGTGTATATGTTATGCTATGCTTCAGATGCATCCTTGCGTCAGATGACTCTCGACCTGAGTTAGGAGGAGCCAATTATTGGAGATCATTCAATGCTGGTCATCTGATAGCCATCCGAGGTGCGTCAGCCGCAATCTAACGCAAGTATTAATCTGAGAAAACGAAGTTTTCAACTATTCATGATATCATTATTACTCATACTAATACCGAATTTGGTTTATCAGTTAAGGCTTTGCGTATAAAGCAACAAAAATTCCCGGTTTATAGACTTAAACTAAAGTACTCCGTTGGCAACTCTAGTTGGGAAGTATAGATTAAAAATTTAAAATATACATTTACCCGAATCTTTTATGCAGCGATGCAGTTATACGTACTATAATGAATTTCAAAAATGAGTAATAATGCAAAATTTAGAGATATAAATGGATTTGTTTCTTGTATTTGGTTTTTTGTATGCAGAAAGAAAATATATATGGTTTTATAGTCAAGTAAGGTAAAATGGGTTATTTAAATTAAATGAATCGATTTTTAATTGTTTCACGTTAAGAAGGAAATCATTTCAGCAATCATTTCGTCGACGTATTGATTTACCGATGATCTGTTAGTACTGGTAACGTCGATTACCCCACGAGTTGATTATGCCGATTAGTTCATCTAGACCCAGAACACCCTTCCAAAACTAACGGGAGGTTATTTTAATATCCTTTCAAAAATTTAGTTATTGTTTCTTCATTTTAGGCACGGTAGCTCTAAAAAGTCAAGTAAATGATGAATTGATGGCGAGCTAGTTATCAGTGAGCCAATCTATTGGTGAAGTGATTGTCAAAGTGATACGTATTACGGCTGTTTTGAAAATTGGTGTGACACGCAAATTTCGGTAGCGGAAAGTTTCCGCTTATTCACATAATCCTCCCGTGATCTTGATATAGTGGTCGGGGGATTATTGATAAATATATCCCGATCAGGGTTGGCAATGGAGCCAATGGAGTTCTGAATGGAGCAAATGGATACTAGCTTTTTTTTGATCCATTGACCCCGATCAGGTTTAAATTGGCATGCATAAGATGCACATGTGCATGAATTTTTAAAAAATTTATTAAGTGTTAAGCTGCATAAATATATAAAATATATATTTGTGCAAGTGATTTTTATTTTGAATTTTAAACACTAATCCCGATATTGCATTATCGAAACCGAAACTACAAAAAATGTCGGCTATAATTACCGAAATCTGCTGATGATCAAACAATTTGTCACGTGTTCAAATATAATTATGTTACAAATATAACACAATTGTATAATTCTCATGTCTTTTTACACTAGTAATATATGTTATTCATTTTATTGGCACATTTCTCATATACATATAAATAAGTGCAACCACATGATGATCGTAACTGCATAAAAACATCCAAAGAACTAGTTGTAGATTAATGCTATAAAAGTTATATTAAGTTTGGACTGTTACTATTTGATCGGATTTTATTACTGTATGTTTCAGTTATGCAAACGATCTACGGATACTACCAGATACTTAACGTATTAATAAAACTTATGAATACCGTACCGTACTGATTAAAAGACCCGAGG